GAAGTATGGTACATTTGTTTAAGTTGACGGACAAGAGCCATCTGCGGGACCATTCGTCCAATCGACAAAGATTTTCTTGGAAGTCGGTCTCGTCCGCAGCATTGTGGATGACTTTCCAGATTTTTAGTGTACTTTTGGGAATAAAAATTGACTTTCACGTCCTAAATTATAAATGACTTCCCTTTTTGGGCTGAAAACACGAGTTGTCTTGGAATCTGCCTTTGCCCGTTGCCGTTGACCGCCTTCCATCGAGCTGACTTCAGTGTACAATTTGTGTTATGACATTTGCAGTCTTCCAGGCCTCCTCATTGGCCAACTGGCCTAGGACAAGTTTCGTTTTCTTCGTTAGCTAATTCCTGCCACTTCGGTGACTTCCGCCAACCTACTTGCCAACATCTTCACCTGTTTTTCAATCAGTGTTCACCTCCTAACGCTGTATACGTCGACTTAAACAAAAAGTCTTATTGATGCCTCTTATGCATTATTCTTGGCACTACTTTGTCCATTTCACGCTCTTCCGTATGTGCTCCCCGTAAGACCCCTATTACCACCGCTCCCATCACGCAGGTAACCTCAGTTTCAGCGTCCTCACTAAGGTTGTATATTGCACTGTTGCCGTAAATTCCACAGCTTTAAAATTATTGAACTTCACACAAGAATTGGTTCGTTCCTCCTCAATTACTGTCCCCGGATTTTGTTCAGAAAATGGAGCAGAGTTCATTTGTCCCTAGCGTCTGTTAATATTTTTGGGCACATTCGACCTAGCATTTTCTGTTTTCTATCAAGGTGTCACTTGACCCGCCGCTGCCGCATTGGTTTGAATTCATGAACTAGGGTGTTACGCATGCATAAACTTGATCTCTTTATGTCATTTCCCAGCACAATCGGCTTAGAACGAGCACGGGCATTAACCACCGAACTTGCTGATATTTCTGATCTTACCTCCTGCATAATTTTTGTGTCTTTATCTATACATACACTGAAAACACGAGTTTTCTTGTGGGTTATGTGACCAAGTTAAGCCTTTTGTGAGTACCCTTACAAATGGATGACTCCCGACATCTTTCCCCTGTAGGTGCCTACAAAAAGCCGTAAGTTCCTAAGCAAAGGGATGAGAAATTCGTTACAGGGGACATGCTCCCCCCACTTATCAGCGACGCTTCTATGGACGATGTCTTCACTACCATTTGAAAATCGGTCGTGCAAGCATGCGGGCTATTCTTTAAAAAGTCTTTCCTGCCTTGTTTCTAGGTCTTATGTTTCGTGGGAGAGGCTTTTCGCGGTAATGTTTAAAAGACTGCTGTGGTAAGCGCAAGTCAGAGCTGGTTTCTAGAGAAGAAAAAAGATGTGACTCCATAATTAACAAAACAAAGGCATTCAGTTAGACCACACCTTTTGACGTGATACTACTTTTTTCTGTATCGTCACCTCTAAAAAGTGAAAATAATGTGAAAGATAAACGACACCAATTGCCGTCTTAAAATGTTCCATAATCTTTATTTCGTGCCATACGTGCGTATTCTTTCATCCTGTGACATAAGGCCTTCGGGTACTGGCGATTTACAAATCACCAGACTGTAGTTATGGCGAACAAACACTCCTGATATACAGAACGATCTGTCAAGGCCAAAATGTTGGTCCCACGGTCCAACACCAGCTAACGGCACCGACTTCATTCGTAACGAATAAGGAGTCCAGGAGGGGGTGAAATCCATTTTTCAAGGACATGGGACGACGGTTGGGAGGCGACGCCCTTAACGCGATTAAAGAAAGGATAAATTTAGTTCCAGTCGGTCAACTATTAGTACCATGCATTTAAACCAAAGACTTTCCTTGGGTAAATGAGGTCAGTGAAAAGACCTGCTCGACTTCATTGGCCGGCTATTTCTTTGGCGAACGTACTTCAAAATAACAAACAATAACAGGATCTTGTCTCCCATCTTACGCGCATATGCGCACAACGTTATTTTAATTTTCTTGGTCGCATAATTTATGAGCAGGTTTAGTATAATGACCGACAAAGACGAGGGAGGCTGGAGTGGCCATTTCTGGCAAATTGACCGTCGTCAGTCAGCCATGCCCAACCCTGGTTCTGCTTGTATTACGCGCCACTCGGTGGCTGTTGGCGGGGCTCAAGAGAGAGCCGCAAGACACAACGGGACGAGTGAGCTCCGTAGAGCGATCGGCGAGTGTCCCTCTACCGTAAGTTTACGATATTCGTGGTTTAAAGCCCTATTTCCTCCGAACCAAAGCCCTTCACCTGCATGGTCAGTCTTGCATATATCATCAATACTACTTCAAACCGAAAAAGATCGTGATTTTCTGTGTGCAGGCTACCGAGCTCAGTTGGCTTACCTGCAGCAGACGTCATTCTCTGCCAGTAAGAAATCGCGGTTCGGCAGGTGTCGGGGGAAGATATCCTCCGATTATATTTTTCGGAGCTAACTTTCAAATCTTTCGGAGACTAAACATGTTGGGAATTTTCCCCATAATGGGATAACCCATAGGTAGGGCTTGTGTAGAACATTCCAAGGAAGCCTTGAAATATCCTGATTACTGGTTTGAATGCGTCACTTTTTCTGTAATCCTGTAGAATACGATTTTCTAGACACATTTGCTTATACGTGCTTTTGTTTCCGTACTTTGACTTTGATGGTAGTGCGGACTGGTTCGCTGGTAACTTAAACCCAGTACTATTTAATTCATACATGGTTACAGTGCCGTTTTAGTTTTGGCTGAAACTTGAGCATTTGCATTGATGGGTCATTCCTCTTTTTCGTCCACTCGCCTCGTATAAATGGTGCTTCAACACTGTATTACACATCCTCCATAAATCTCAGACCAACGAGTTCGGCGCGTTCTGCTGCCCTGGTCTCGCGCATTGGTTGCCATCCTTTGCTAGATCAACTGGTTTTTCCAAAAGATCGTGCAGGGTTTGCTAGCCTTGTTTATGTTGAGCAGATATCACGGTATTTGTGGTTTGAAGTCTAGGCATGACCCTATTCTCAGAAACCGGTCGGATCGCACTAGGAACATGTGCTCAGTTCCAGTATTGTGGAAAGAGAGTCGATTGTAGCGATGTCCATTTGAGTGCCTCTTTCGTCAGAAAGTGCATGACTACCGCCAGCTCTTGTGAGAGCTGCTTACAGGAACCAGGTCTAGTGCATTTGAAAACTTCTTAATGATTCAGACCCATGTATCACGTGAAAATACGGGAGATCCCACAAATCAGTCTGGATTTCCTCTCGACAGTTTGACTGTCGATCTTCTCTCAAATGTTCTCTCTCTCACACACACGACAGTTCGACTGTCGTTGCCGACGATGTCCACCATGTGCTCCACATCAGAGTGAGAGCAGGGACGGTGGCTTGCGCTTGAGTTAGTTTAAATTGGTAGTAGAATTGTGTTGCATCTATTGCAATCTCTCCCCCTCCCTCACCTCTATTCGGCGTCAAAACGAAGTCAAGAAGACCGGAGGCTGGAGAGGGCGCAGGTGACTGACACGATGAGAATCCTCACCTAGGCGTACCACCACACCCCTGTTCCACAACGTAAACACCAGGAGAAGAGAGGACGGCTCTGATCCCACTAGACGAGAGTACTATAGAGGCCATATTAAGAGGGATACATTGCAGGCTGCCTCCTGGTCCCCTAGTCGGTCATTCCCACAAAAACACAGACTGAGCTGACCGCAAGGTCCGAGCTATCCCGTCAATTGACGTCCTTCCAAGCCGCGCTTTTTAGCGCACTGTGGTAGCCCCCAGTGCACCAGATTGTTTTTATTGAGGAGTTATGCGCTGAAAGTCGACCTCACCCGCACTACCCTATCCCGTTCACTGGTCGGTTGTCCAAGCCGGTCAACCCACTGATTATGATGATCGGAATAGGTAGCTGACGCAGCTGAAAACAGTCCGTCTGCGCGTGTCATGCACACGATCTGGCCCTCCGTACACACACGCCAGGATCTCGCACACAGCGGTTATAGGTCGCTTGGATCTCACATGCAGCAGAGGAGTCGCACAGAGAAAGGTACCCAAGTGCACACCCCCTCCCCCACTTACGTGATAGGTGCCCCTGATATGGAACGTTCGGGGTGTTCATGTGTGATGTATGTGTGGATGGGGAAATATATGGTGGTGCTATCATGTCTGTTGTGATTTACCACAGATATCCAGGAGTACACATGTGGACGGGTAGACCCATGCAATGACTGAATGTGCGAGGATAGTGCGGGCAATTGAGACGATGGCGTCTGATTTATGTTGGTACTCCGGGCACTGGTTCGCAAGTCTCTGTGCTGTGGATTCCCAAGTGACCGACCAGACCGATTAACGCGGTGAAAGCTAGGTGGAAGTGTGGGTAGGATAGACCGGAAGCTGCAGAGTCAGTTGTCGGTGTGGAGCTGTCAGTAATGTGTGCGTTGAACGATGAGAGGTCGATTGGGCTGCGGATGGTGGATGTGCAAAACGTGTTAAGTGTGTCGATATTGCAGTAAATTCCTCTGTTTTGACCACGCATTCGGCCGAATAGGCATGCATGATGCTTTGTACTTTCCTGGGAAATGGCCTGCTAACGTGACGTAAATCAGTTTGGACTAAGATCTAAAGACGCAGACCGAAATTTGATATGGAGTATCTACCAGAAGGCACACGGGGACTGCTGGAGGATCCACTGAAAATAAATAAATAAAAAGATTTTATCAAAGACCCATCGGGGTCCCGCCAAAGCCAAACCCTCCGCAGCCGTATCATGCAGCGGCGGAATATTGGCGAAACACGCGTCTAGGCCTTTAGCTTGTTTCTGTGCTACCAGAATGGTATCATGTAACCCCAAGGCATGCATGTGCATGGGTGTGTGTGGACAGTGCCGATAGTGGAGGCGGATGCGGCGAGTGTATGCGGAGGCTCCTGGCACTGGTGCGCCGATTATAATGCGACGTATTCACAAATGATCGAGCAGCTCGATGTGTGAAGTAGATGCGCGATCTCGATAAGGACAGGCTAGAACGAGTTCACGTTTCTGGAGGAAGGAGTGTTGGTGGTGGTGAGGATGTTGGCTGATGATTCATCGGGAACGTTTCGATCGAAGGTGGGAATCAGAGTTGTGGTGGTCATCGTCGTCGATTCGGAAGGTGTGACAGAGATCATGGAGATGACGGCGGCGGCGACGGAGCACAAGAATTTGGAGCAGCAGTGGTGATGGTGGGCGCCGCCGTGGACGCCGGAGGCATTGGAGCAGAGACGGTCAGGGAGGCAGCAGTTGAAGGTTGTCGAGAAGTTGGCACACTCTGTCCGGAGATGTTGGAGAAGTCTTGAAGAAGAAGACACGATCGCCGGGACAAGAGCTTTATTAGCCTGACGTTTCGGATTCCTGCTCGAATCCATCATCAGAGACATAAGCAGATAAGGGTGCTTCATGCACATGTGGCTGCAGTATTTATAGGATGCAG